ATATATATATTAGCATTCAATCACAGATTATATTGTATTTTGTATTGTTTTTTCTTTAATATAATGTCATCCACAGTGAGCTCTTGTCCTTATTGAAGAAAATCCCCCTCTGCATATTTCTTACAAATTACAGTATATCCACTCAGATACATTGTGCGCATGGTAATTTAAGGTGACACCCACACATAGCTAATGTTCCATTTTCACCATGAGGCCTTTATTTTAAAATACAGTTAAAAGCAATGCTCTGCCATGGTGCATTATACATAAGCCTGCTTACATAGTAAGATTATGGAATGACGCATAATTCAGGTTAGATTTGTTATTTGCCCTGCCATAGTTGTCCTGCTTTTGTATATTTTGAAATATGCAGCAATATTTGTTGAAGGTTTTGAAACCTTGTATCAGATTCTTGAAATGTTTGTGATTAAAATCCTATTCAGATGGTGCCTTGTGGTGCCTGGTACTGTCAATACCATAGCTACTGCAGCAAATTAATGTGTGTGCTTCAAAACAGCAGTTCAAAACCTATCACAGGGCAGATTTGGACCGTCTTTCTTTCTTTCTTTCTTTCTTTTTTCTTTCTTTCTTTTTTATTATTGCTAGTATCTTTATTATTATTATAATTTTTAGTTTTTTGCAGAAATAAACTTAAAACTTTTCAAGTTTTTAAAGATATTGAGTTTAACATTGAATGCCTTAAACATGTTATTTCTGTACATCTTAAAGGTGTCCTGTATTTTTTGACAGGCATAGACTATAGAAATAACCTATTAGAAGAAAGTCAGTGTTGAATCATCTCCAATTCTGAATTAAAGTGTTCTTTATGTTGTATCTAACCATTTCATACTCTCTGTAAAGCTAATTTTTGCTTTCATATATTAGCTATTGTCTTTAATATTTCTTCTTACGTAGTCATTGTAAACCACGACTTGGATAGAGCCATTACTGACATAATCTAGAATATCAGATCATGTTTGGCCCCATATTTGGTGAAAAATCTCTAGTGTCTCATGTTAGCTGTAAAGCAGTGACACAAATGTCAGCAATATTTAACTTTAGCGACCCCATCTCGATGTCTGAGAAACATCATGTCTGAATTGGCCATGATGACTAGGAGCAAGAACATTTGTAGGGACCATTAAAGGATGCATTTCTCCCAGGAAACACTCGCTGATGAAGATCAATTGGATGCTTTGCAGGGTTGGGAATGATGTCAGCATCAAAGAAAAGCTCGTCAAAGTACAACATATTTAAGGGCCATATGGCTCATAATACCATCAGAGGTCCATTCTGCATTCCGAGCACCACCACGAAACTCTTTCCCACCCCTTCAACTCATCTTTGCCTTTCTTTTATCTTCTGTCTCCCTGTTCTCAGACAGTGATTTTAGAGGTCAATCCCTCCGGTGGTGGTGGGGGCTTCTGTCTGAATACACACTTTAGTTGTGACAGATCAAGTCAATTCTGCCGTACTTGACTGATCCCTGGCAGGGCCATGAATATGCAAGAACTCTAGTCAAATCAAACGCTATAAGGCCTCTATATTCAGAGCAGGGGTGTATTTGAGGTCAGTAGCTTTGCCATTCTAACCTCATGTTACTTGCAAACCCGTCTCCATTTGGATTGGTATGAATATGCCCTCACGGGCTTATGGGGCCTCACAGTCAAACACATTTTCTTTGCATCAGGCTTCATGGTACATTCAGCATTTCAAAAACATCATAAAATGTGGGAGAGGATGTCCTTGAGTCCACAGTTTGTGCTCTCACCCACCCGCGTTTCAATAATTCAAATTCAACTTCATTTTTGAATCTTGCTGGGCTTATGGCAGATGTGCCTAGATTTATAACCAAACACATTTTTTAGAACATGAAGTGATTGATCTTGTCACGGTCAAGGTGTGTGGAGGCAGGCAGGATGACGAGGACGACAAGGATTCAAATAAGGATATTTAATGTAGAGACAACAAGGCAGATACGGGTAGATGAGACACACACACTTAGGGTAACATTCACAATAACCGACAAACTAGACTACAGGAGGCAGGAACTAATATAGGGTGGATAACGAGGGGCAGACAGGTGAGCACAATCAAGGTAATTAACTAATAATGAGGACAGGAACAACCAAATAAGGACACAGGGGCGTTACATGTATATGTTTGGTTGACTGTATTTTATTTTGATAATGAACAGACTGCGATGTAAGTTTGAAGTGCTAGAATATGTGGGGTGTGTGCGCGCGAGGCGCCGGTGTGATCGAACAGCTGAAACATAAAAAACTCAATTTTTGGAGTAAGATATA